CAAAAATCGATATGAGAGTAATACGAGTAATGCAAGTAGGAATATTACATATGTCTCTCTTTCACTTAAGTTTACGAATCTATCGAAAATATCTAATCCTGACAAAAGTGTCATATTCAGGATTTTAATATAAGTCTTGCATTCAAATTGTCATTCACAATGAAATGAAACTGAAAATTTAATGAATATTAAGGGAAGTTTATTGAAAATTGCATAGCTATCTTAGTTTTTGAAAAATAATAAGATTTGTGGCATGTTGCGCGGTTGCAATTTAACCAATGACTTATTTCAAATTTTGATGTAATTAGACTAATGTTTAAAAAAAATTACGTAGCGAAGTTTCATATTTCCATGAAATCTTTACACTGGCGTGAAAAATATAGTGTGAAAAGTATATAGACAATATCAGAATTAAAATCCAACATTCATTCTGAAGACAATTATCTATACAGGCAAAGAAATAGGCGTTAATAGCACAACTAAATCACGGGGCGAAATAAAAGATCAGCCAGATTCAAAATCAGGGACACAATGAAGATTACAACCGCCAATGAATTACGAAATTCTTTCGAAGAACTTACTCCCAAAAGTCTAAAGGAACATTTAATTAGAATATGAAGATGAAGGTAGTTTGTAATAATTGTTGAAAACAAATCAGATGTGTAAGATCCTATAGTTCGTTTTCTTGACAATATAGAAAAATATTTTATTATTCCTGGTAGAGAACTATCAAATTTAATTCGACAACGAACATGGGATGGGTTCACATTCGATCACGGAACAGGGGGTGGGTTCTAATAGAATAAAAAGTACTACTTGTATAATCCGGAAAACTACGTAAAAGCAATGGAAAACTTTAAATTTTTGGAAAATTAATAAACTTAAGAAGGATCTTTAATTGCAATTGATAGTCGTTTATAATTCGTTTCATATGAAAATTTTGAAATTCAGAGATGATCTAGAACTAGCCGTCCTTTGTTCCATGAATTGCAGAAGTAATTGAACATCAATTTTGAATTCTGAACAAGACGCTGATATTAACAGACAACAGGATAGAAAATTGTGATAAAGTATATAACAGAAGCTCTCCTTACATGACGTAGTACGGAACAATGCATTAAGACTAGACAACAATTTAAGTATACCACAGTAAACTGGAAAGTAGGAAGCGGAAGTGTGGCCTTCAACGAAGAATCGAAGAGAATACGGCCACTAGAGCCCAAACGAGATCATTGTAGTTTAGGTGAAAAAGAAATTTAGTAGTTCAGGGAAAAAAATAGAGTACAAAATGTACCCAATAGACATTTTATTTCCACATTCATTTCCAGTCTATGAACGGGAGAGCAAAATTAATTTTAAATTAAACGACCGACAAAAGGGGTGGAAAAATAAGACCCCATTTTGATCTGAAGACTTAAATATCAGAAGTTATGGATGAGAAAGGATTTCAAGAATGTCATTGGGAGGGGGCGAGATATATGGAGAGTATTGAGAAGACTAAGAAAGCGAAGTTGGACCAATCAGAACTTACGATATTTGTTCTGTATATCATGGATAGCAATTACTCAGGATCTGCAACAAAAAAAGGAAAGATTACGTACATTTTATTTATTACACTCTTTCTAAAAATAAATTATCATTTACGATTTAATTTTTTATAGAATTTCTATTTAATATTTGCAAATTATGTTTACTTTAATTTCTGTGTGAATAATGCATGTACTTTCAAAGGCAGGTTTTAGTAAATACAAATTGTGCACGTTTTCTCAAGCTCTAAAAGCCCTACCACACATTTTTACGCTGACATAGTTAAATTATTAATGAAAGTACCAATAAAGCGTGATTAGCAACATTTGAAAAATAAAAATATTTGCTACTGAATAAAAAATACATCTGCTGACTATAGATTTGCAAATAATCTGACAGATGAGAGAATTAAAACAAATCTAAATAGTGGCTAACCCACATTACCATACAAACCGCTGTCTTCACACATTTTATTTTTCACATTTCACACAGATGAAATACGAGATAGCTCACTTTCTTTCCAAGATTTGCCTTGTCTGAATACAGATCATATTCGGTAGGTCCACTTTTTTTACTAGTCCTGTAAGATGGTTACGTCTGTTGATCACATTGAAGAGTACCTGAAACAGAGTTACTGGCACAAACATCTGTTCTTCAAAAAATCAATACATACTTCTACAGAGTTGAAACCTAACTCTGGAAATCTTGTATTGATTAGTTATTCGCTAGCGCACGTATATGGAAATAATTTAGGCGTTTATTTTATCTGTTTTTCGTTACTGTATTTTTCCACATTTCTTACAGTTATTTTAAACATGTTGAAATATACCATAATGCTGAAAAATAAGCAGAATTAGAGCTGAAAAATAAGCAGAATTAGAGCTGAAAAATAAGCAGAATTAGAGCTGAAAAATAAGCAGAATTAGAAAATGAACTATTGGAACAGTTATATATCGACAATTTATTGGGTTGGATTATTTATTGGATTTATGGGGTCTCTATTAGAGTGTTCAAAAACTTTTCTTGAAAAATATCCCTATTCACATTAATTTAAATTTATGTATTCTTGCCATGTATACACACGGACTTAATTTTTATTTTGCCACGTATCACGCGGACTTATGATCCTGTAAGGAAAAACTTAATTTGTGATTATTTCATTTACATGTACACATAACTTTATAGCAGTTTCGAAAAAATCCCACCCTGTTTTAAGTGTGCTGTCCGCCAGCTAACGTTTCCCACTCAAGGACGACTGAACGATGGGCAGACATTCAGTTTTCCTCAAGGTAGGAAGGCGTATTCCAATTCCTTAAGTATTTTGATTTATCCTTTTTCATTGTAAAAACTAAGTACAGGAATGTCGTAAACATTTAAAAGCAAGTTGAATAAAAAATCGAATTGGAACACATCCCTAGCACTTAACCTACCCACCCTGCCCTGTGAGCCTTCTTGGCGTGTCCCTCCTAAACCAACAGTTGGGCATGTGGCCTTCCCTGCTGAACCACAACCTAGTCTACAGTCCAGAGGGAGGTCACCTGCCATTCACATCGATGTAAAATGCGAGGTGAAATGCCATCTCGCAGTTCAGTAAGTTTCCCACCCAAGCAAGGTCCCCCAATTTCTCTATGACTGAATGCATGCCAAGTGCAATAGCGGTAATCCAGCACAGGAGTGGATCCCGTAATATGGCTAAGCAAACAGTCTTATTACAGACTATCCGGGCTCTGCAGCCTTTTTTCTAAATTTGCCCATACTAATATTGAACTAGGTAATCATTTTAAATTCCAAGTAACATTTGTAGAACTATCATTTATTTTTAAATGTAAATAAAATGCAAGCAAAAATTACCTTAAATATTCTTGATCTTTTATTTCAACTATTAAAATATTAATTAACATTGAAATTAACGTTTTACAACATTACATTAACTATAACCTTCAATAACGAATCTACAATTAAATTTACTCATATGTATTGATAAATTAAGTACATTTCAGTAAACGAGACTGCAGTAACCCAGAAATATATTAAACTAGAGGCGGACAAATACCCCATCTAACATTATCTGAGTGGAGCCAATGACTGCACGAGGAAGAATTATCCCTCCCCAACTACAAATGTATGCTTGTAAGGAAACTACTCAGCATATATCCTTCGCTGTTTATTTTCAGGTTTATATTTACTCTTCTCATTTCTCTTCTTCGTAGTACGTTTGTTTGCATGTGTTTGGATAGACCTGCGTCATCCGTCGTGCAGTCGGAAGAAGGAACGCGAACGGCCTCGCCTTTAGGCTGCCGCGGGCGCTGCGAAGAGCACAGGACATGGGACGGTCTCCACCCAGAACACTCACCGATTCCAGTCTCCACCGGCGTCAGGCCAAAGCGTTGCTCCTCTTCTGCCAGGGGTGCTATGCTACCCTTCCCTGTCGTTTGGAAGCTACTCTAACTGAAATGTAGACCGTTATCCCTGCTCATAAATCTGAGCGATTGAAAATACGCAAATGTTCTAATTAAACCTAGTAATTATTGATTTTCTAAAATCTTAACCTGTTGAATCAATTCTATTTACTACATTTCTAGTTCGTATTTGAAATGCTTGTCTCTGATTAATGATTTTCAGGGAATTAAAATTCTTTCAAACCAACAGCCAAATATGTTCTAATTCAAAATAATAAAAAACTAGGATAATGTTATAATGTTAATGTTTAAACGATTGATAATTTCCTTTTTTTAACATGCACAATGTTGGTCCTATTGATTTGCGTACATATTTTATCCATTAAAGTTTTCATTAAGGTTTGCACACATGACTATGAAAAGAAACTTCTCTTTACGCTTCCTAAATGACTATTTGACCTTAAAACGAGTGCAACTACGCTTTCCAGATTTTAAACGTTTTCCTAACCACCTGGCGGGAACAAGGGAAATTAGGAACGACGAGAAGACATGGCGTCGTGAAGACCAATGCCACGGTGATGAGAAGTCCAGCTACGAAGCACAAACTTACGTCACCACACACTTTGATTTTTCACAAGCACTTCTCCTACACACGCATTTTTTAGCAACGAAACGGCTCATTTTAGCCCAAACACTTGCGCACCAGGCAGGATTTCCACAATTCTTGAGAGCACATCCATCACTTCACAACACTGTATACCTGTGATTCGTAAAATCACTTATCAAAGATCTGCATCAATGCTACTCAACTTTTCACGCGACACTTCACAGAAATATTTGAAGATAAGAATTTTCTATTTAAATCTTCTTTCACACCCACTTTACACAAATATTAATAGGATTGCTCTAGATATCCTATTTACACGCCACACGTATTTGCTCCACAAACTACGAACACTAAAAAAAATATAACCACTGTACTTCCAGAACAATCACCAATAACCTCTCCACAACCCGACACGAAATGAGCGAGCGTTGGGCGGGTTCGAGCAGTGGTGTGACACTAGATAGGACACATCCGGTCCTTATTCAAATTCCATACGGTAGCCAATCAGAGTTCAGAGCGACGCCGTGTACATCTGTACACCAACTCACTCAAGCGGTGCATAGGTGAACTACTTATTCATTTTGAATTTTTTTCGCAAACGAGCCGGTTGGGTACCGTTGGATTCCTTCCTCATTGACCTATCGTTGTATATTCACGTGCTGTTCGTAGGGCTGTTCACGCCATGTCGCAGTCAGTGAATTAGAGAAATGAAGTGATTTACTGCTGTTTGAAGTCTGAAGCGTGCATTATGGCTTCGAGAAGATGCTGGGTGCCTAAGAAATCGTGGAATTTTTTTAATGTTCATGTTCATTTGCAGATCCCTTGTTTGTACCAAGCGAGATGACACCCACTATACCGATGGGTGTAATTGGTAAGACGTTTTTTAATAGAATATTAGTAGAATATAGTTTTAATATAATCTATTTTTATAGTTTTCGTAGACTTTAGTATAGTTTGATGGGAGTCTTTGGTACCAGCATTTTTTAATTTTCAGATCCTTGTACACAGACAGCTTTTCAAACTGAAAATGGTGAGTCTCTTGTAGGTTTGTAAAATGCAAAAAGAAGCATGCTATTGAAAGCATAATGTATTGATAATAATTTGTTGTTCATTAATACAGGCTCTAGTGCTGTTGAACATGCTGCTACAGCAAGTGCAGCAGATGCTTATGCAAGCCTTGTGAAAGGTAAAAATATTTGCTACAATCTTTAAGAATCTCAATTATTACTTTGTTGCATTTATTGAAGATGGGACATATGTCACGTTTGTCTCCAGTTTCAGATCTTTTTCACCCATGTGAAGTGTCACCTAAAGTTTTTATAGACGTTTCTCATGGAATGTTCATTTCAATATACAGTTATTAGTGCCAATTGAGGGTAAATTATAGTAAATAAGAAACTCTATTTTTGGTGATTACAGATCCTTGTACTTCTGGAAAGGTGCAAGAAGCCATTCTGGGAGATCAATCTGCGCCTTCGGTGTGTGGTAAGTGCACGATATTCCTGTGCTTTCTAATTTCGCAATTCTAGATGGGGAATTAAAAGAAACCTCTTTCTTTTTGACACAGATTTGGGTTAAAATTTAGTATACGGTACACACTTAGAGAAGCGTGGCGGCGGGGCCCTAATTACTGTACGTGCTCTAATAGAAATGAGTAAAACTTACGGATAGACGATTTTCATGGCTCGCCCTTCATACGCTTTGTCCCCGCCGACGTACTGTAATGCCAATTTACTTTCAAAGGCAAGTTTTCTCGCTTCGCTCGCCCGGATCCAAGTCACGGCGAGGCTCGGCCTTCGACCCTCACGTTCACTATAAACATCCTTGAGTCTATCCAACGCATACTTACCGATTCACTTTTATAAGACATAACTTTTCAAGAAAGCCTCCTGAATTCTAACTGCCTAGTTAATGCCAGAGCGGCACGAATTGCCGGTTTAATCGACTTCCTTAGGTTGTACCGTATGCTACTTTACAGCCCAGATTTATTTTCAGAACATTCATTTGAGGACATAGTATCTTTCTTAACGACATTTTTTGCTTTTCAGATCCTCTTCCAGAGATAGCTTCTGAAGCATGCATATTAGACCCTACGAGTTTGACCCTAAGTGGCTTTAAATTAATGTTCGCTTTGAGGAGTCAGAAAACAGATAATTAAAAAAAATTATTGTCATGTGCTGTGAATGACAAAGTTTCTGAACATGTCTCTTTTACGCCGACAGTTTATAATGGTGCGAACAACGAGAGTTTTAAAATCAGTGTGTATTCTGTGATTGGATACAGATACATTATATAAACTGTATTTCCCACATCTGATTTAGAAAGTTGTAATTAAATAAAATTTAAAGATAAAATTCATTCTGTAAAGCATGATCATTTTCTCAATTTTGGAATACCTCTTGCTATGTTAAGACATTTTATTTGAATATTATGAATACATAGGTTTTGAGTTTCTGAGTCTATTTTCATGCAATTTGAGAATTTCTTTAATGCTTATTATCTTGTCTGTATTTTTTATTAGTATTAATATTTATTATTAGTATTGATATGTCACTTATGTATTGTTATACTGTTCTGACAATAATTTTTTCTCATGACAAATACAATCTTATTTCAATTTATATTTTAGTATGTGTGTATTACTGTTTTGTTCATCCTCATGCCAATTACATTCTGGATTTTAATGATCCTTATTAAATTATGAATTGTTATGAGTCGCAAATGCAATGCTTGATTCTATAGCTCAGTTATTAGGACTTCTGCCCAGTTATCAGAAGGTCCCAGGCTTGGCTCCTGGTGCAAACAAATATTTGCACTTTGACAATCCATTTTCAGAATTAAATTGTAGTACATAAGCATTGCTGGTATTCCACTATTTGTAAATCATTGTTTTAAAGGTGAATGTATTTTCACAGTGGATCCTATCTTAAAAAAGCCAGGCTCTAAACTGTGCATATGTGAGATTAGCATGGGTAAATTAATTTTGTCAAATATTTATTGACTAATGAAAAACATTTTTAGGTTACAATTAGTAAAAGCGGTTCTTTCAAGGCACGCAGAGCATGCTTGAAGCTCAATTTTTTGCACTACTGCTAAAAATTAGAGAATGCTCAAATTTTCTGATAAAACTTAGAAAGCAACAAAGAAAACAAAATACGTTCATGTGACCTAATCAGATACTATTGATTTTAATGTGACAGTACATAAGTGATTCGTATTCTTAATGGCTTAAGTAATTCGCAAAATAAAATGACACTTTCACCTCTAGTATCATAACTATTTGTTTTACCTTGTCAAATGAGCGGTAATATTTTCATTTGTTTCTTTTCAATTCTGTTCTTATTGTTCATTCATAATGCTTGTAATAATGTAGTATTACATACTATTAATTTGGCATATCTACAAGCTATACTAAAGTTGCAATTATGCAGCTGTACTGTTTATTACTTTCTGTAATACAAAATTGTTATCACTAATGAAATTACGAAATTGTATAATATCAATATGCTCAATAAATACTAGATTTTACTACCCTAAATTGACTTTTTTCTTCCATAAAATCCTTATAACTATTATTGTGAATTTTTAATAAATTAAGGCATGGAAAGTATGGGAGTGAAATTTTAAAGTTCCCGCGTTGCTGTTTTTTTTTATCAAATTTACCGGTTATTTTTTCACTATTGGCTGTCCATTTACCCAATAGAAATTATACAGAACAATGTGGCGGCATAGGAAGTTGGGGAAATAAGGCTTTTCCTTTTAACATTGAGTGCCGTCTCTGAAATGTACTCTTGGCTGGGCAGAGCAGGAGGTGGTGCAGCGATTGGCTACCGTTTTCCAGAGAGTGAACAGCAGTGCTGTTACCAAGATAACAGCAAGAATGCCCAAATTAATTTTATTATTTATAAATTAGATGATTGAAAAGAAATATAATATTAAATATTACTAAGCAGGTGGATCAGGTTATGTATCACAATATATTTCTGACCTACTCGTAATGTATATGATTAGAAGAATATTAAAGGCTAGAATTTCTGAGAAGAAGGGTGCGATGGCAGACACTTTTGTATGGAGCCGCTCCCAAATTTTCGCGATTGTAGAGTGTAATAACACTGTTGAGGGACAAGATAAAATTACGACATTATAATATTTAAAAGTTAATTATAATGTTGAACTGCGTTATAAATGTTAACTCCGGAATTTGATTCAAAACAGCCTTAAAAAATCCACGAATTTAGACGAAATGTACTACATAGGCCCCCGCTTTTCAAATGTTTATAGTCAAGTACAATATTATTTATTTTGTTACAAAATAAGTACAAAGTTTAGTAAAATATTATAGGCTACATAAATTGGAATTTTTGAGAATGGGGATGCGGTGGCGTACACATTTGTTTAGAGCATTTCCCAATTTTTCGGATTTGTGGAGATTAATAACCCTGGTAAGAGACCAGATAAAATTTTAAAATTAATGCATGTAAAAGTTCACTTTCGTGTTAAACTGTCTTTGAAATTTGACTCAAAATGTGTTTAAAAAAATCGGATTTATACGTGGTTCACTGGCACCCGGTTTTTAATTGTTTATAGTTGAGTACAAAATTTTGTATTGTGGTACAAAATCAGCACATTAATAGTACATAATTATATGCCAGTTGATTTTATATTTTGAACAAGAGGGAGTTCCAACTTGACGGAGGTGTGATAGAGGTGTGACAAGGAAGAGGGAGGATCGATCGCACGCGTTCCGTGGCCCGTTTGTAAGGGTACTTCCCCCTGCATTCGCCTGGTGTTGATCGGAGAAACCACGGAAAACTACCGATCAAAGCAGTCAGCTGCTAGAATTCTCCTCCAGTGAGCGACTAAATCTACCTGGTTATGTAGTGACTGTCGAAAATCCTGCCACCGTCGGGACTCGAACCCTCGGATCACCCGATCGGAAGCAATTCGGCGACATCAATGGATGCCCGGGACCACGTAAGCCGTTCCCACGCAGAGGACAGCTGATCTTCCACCGAGACATCTTCCCTGCGATGCATCGCGACGGGACGGGGCCAAGGTGTGCGCATGCGCAAACGGACCGCACCGTGACGCGTCTTAATTTCCCTGCGGATGGCCGCTCCGCCCGCGCTCTCCTTGCTGTTAGCCTCCGCCGCGGGGCGCGCTGTAACTCGCCCGCAGAGCGCGCTCGCTCTCGTAGCAGAAGAACGGAGACTGCAGTGGAACAGCAGAGGTAATGCATTGGGGCGTGAGTGAAGGGGGTGATCAGAGTATGAAAGAAGGGGGGTAATAGAAGTGATGTCGCCTCATTTAATGTCACTCATGAAGTCACTTGTCATGATATCATTTGGTAATTGTTATTTACGAAAGGAATATCGTGAACACGATTTGGAGAAGTGATGGGCTCAATAGAAGAAGGGTCTATCCGACATTGACCTAGTTCTGAGATACTAAGGGTTGTACTAGAAATTGCTTAATATAACTCAGTACATTTAAAAAAAATGTAAATACAGTACGTACGCATATAAGTACATAATACGAGTATATTACATAATACATGACACTAAAATAATAATATTTGAAGTTTTATTCATTCATTTATTCATTCATTTACTAAAAGACAGTAGAAACTGTATGTGACGTATGGGGGAGAAAATCAACTTCGCACATTTTCTTGAGTTCCAGAACCTTTGAACAATAACTTCCCAACATTTGAACTATAAATAATTGAAAAGATGAATAAATGTTTAAAAAAGTAAATAAAATTAAAATTGAAATGACATTAGAAACATTTGTATAAAATAGACATTTTCGTTACCATGTTATATTTGATTCCTCTGTATTGCCAACAAAATAGCAACTAACCACCAGCTCTACTCCTACCACTATAAGCAAAAGAAGAGTTCCACAAAATGTGCGCATAGTGAAGGTATACTTATGTCCAGAAGCAAAACTAGAGACCATCTCAGTATTTGCTCAATGGATACGGGAAACTGGACAAAACCCTGATCGACATGGGGGTCATTGATGCAGAAGCTGAAGTACATTACTTGTTACAGGCACATTAAGTCTTTATTTAAATTACACAATATAAATAGAAAATAAATGCATTATTATCATTGTTTTATTAGAATAAATATTATTTTTCTTTTTGATGTTAAGTATAGACTCTAATTGTTTAAAAACTGAAATGCAGCGAAAACTATTTTACTTTTAATTTAAATTGGTGTGCCGGCTTTAACTGTTTAATGTCTTGTGGCAATGCGTCGTTAAGTAACGTACAATATATTGTATGTAGATTTCTTACAGTGAGCCGTTGATACCAACTTTATGACTGTTATTACAACGACGTGTGATGTAATTATAAATATCAGTATTGCATGAAAATATCTTTCCATCGCTATGTACGCATTTTGACAAAACTTACAGATTCGTAAATAAAATAGATACGGCAGTGGCAAGAGGCCAATCTCAATAAAATGAGGCTG